TCCAGAGTGGTTGTACCATTTTATATTTTCAACAACAATATATGAATGATCCAGTTTGTCCATGTCCTCACCAATATTTGGTGAAGTCACTCTCAGTTTTATTTTTGCTATTCTAATAGATGTGTAGTGATATCTCATTGTGGTTTAACTTCTGTCAAATTTTGTTCATGTGTTTTGCCTATGTTCTAATTAGATTTCCATTTTACTGTTGAGTTTTGATAATTTCAGATTTTTTAAAAATGTATTCTACATTCTAGTGTTTTGTCAAATAGGCGATTCTTCCAGTAAGTAACTTTTCTTTTTACGTTTTTTAGCAGGGCCTTTTGCAGAGCAAAAGTTTTAAATTTTGATGAAGTCCAGTTTCTTTTTCCTTTTATGCTTTGGCATCAGGTCTAAGAACTCTTTGCCTAACCTAGGATCCTGAAGATTTTTTCCTGTGTGTGTGTTTTTTTAAGTTTTATAGTTTCATGTTTGTAATTAAATCTGTGATATTTTGAGTTAAATTTTACATAACTTAGACTGAAGGTTTATTTTTATTTTTTGGCCTACAAATGTCCAAGTGCTCTAGCACAATTCGTTGAAAAAGCTATCTTTCCCCCACTGAATTGCTTTAGCACCTTTGTCAAAAATGAGTTGGATGTGCTTGTGTGTGTCTATTTCTCAGTTCTCCTTTGTGTTTCATTGATCTATGTGTCTGTACTTCTGCCAGTGCCACAGTCTTGGTTACTATAGCTATTATAGTAAGTCTTGAAATTAGATAAAGTGATTCTTCCACTTTATTTTTCATATCAAAATTATTTCAGCTCTTCTAATTTCTTTTCCGTATACATTATAGAATATTCTTGTCTGTACAAAAAATCTTGTGAGGATTTTGATAGAAATTATCAATATATTATACCTATGTATCAATTTGGGCAGAATTGACATCTTTACCATGTTGTGTCTTCCAGTATAATTACTATACATGATTTATTAGATTTATACCTAGTCAGTTTTCCTACCTGTCTTCCCTCCCCTTCTCCCTTCTTTTCTTTTGCAATTGTAGATGGGATTGAATTTTTTATTTTGGTGGCCATGTGTTCACTAATAGCATATCGTTGGTTTTTGTGTTTGTCTTATATCCCGCAATCTTGCTGGACTCACTTCTTTGTTCTAGGAAGTTTTGTGTAGATTCCTTGGGATTTGCTATGTAGATAACCATGTTATCCATATACAGGAATGGTTTTATTTTTTTCTTCCTAATCTGTGCCTTCTCCCCTGCTACCCCCAACACTGCCCCTGCCAATGGCTGGAACTTCCAGGGCAGTATTTCTAGGGCTGGAACTTCTTCCCTTGTTAAATAAGCATGGTGAAAGCTGACATTCTTGCCTTGTTCCCAGTCAGAGTTAAAACATTTGATTTTTCATCATTAAGTGTAATGTTAGTTGCATATTTGTTGCAGATACTCTTTACTAAGTCATTGAAATTTCCCTCTGTTTTTCTAAGAGTTTTTCATGAATGGATGGTGAATTTTGTCAGATATACTTGATTCACTGTTTGATATGATTTTTTTCATTTGTTAATTCAGTTCAGTTCAGTTCAGTTGCTCAGTTATGTCCGACTCTTTGCAACCTCATGAACCGCAGCATGAAAGGCCTCCCTGTCCATCACCAACTCACGGAGTCCACTCAAACTCATGTCCGTTGAGTCGGTGATGCCATCCAACCATCTCATCCTCTGTCGTCTCCTTCTCCTCCTGCCCTCAATCTTTCCCAGCATCAGGGTTTTTCAAATGAGTCAGCTGTTCACATCAGGTGGCCAGGTATTGGAATTTCAGCTTCAATATCAGTCCTTCTAGTGAACACCCAGGACTGATCTCCTTTAGGATGGACTGGTTGGATCTCCTTGCAGTCCAAGGGACTCTCAAGAGTCTTCTCCAATACCACAGTTCAAAAGCATCAATTCTTCGGCGCTCAACTTTCTTTATAGTCCCAACTCTCACATCCATACATGACCACTGGAAAAACCATAGCCTTGACGAGACAGACCTTTGTTGGCAAAGTAACGTCTCTGCTTTTTAATATTCTGTCTGCTGCTGCTACTGCTATGTCACTTCAGTCGTGTCCGACTCTGTGTGACCCCATAGACGGCAGCCCACCAGGCTCCCCTGTCCCTGGGATTCTCCAAGCAAGAACACTGGAGTGGGTTGCCATTTCCTTCTCCAGTGCATGAAAGTGAAAAGTGAAAGTGAAGTAGCTCAGTCCTGTCCAACTCTTAGCGACCCCATGGACTACAGGCTCCTCTGTCTATGGGATTTTCCAGGCAAGAGTACCAGAGTGGGGTGTCATTGCCTTCTCAATGTGCTGTCTAGGTTGGTCATAACTTTCCTTCCAAGGAGTAAGCATCTTTTAATTTCATGGCTGCAGTCACCATCTGCAGTGATTTTGGAGCCCCCCAAAATAAAGTCTGTCACTGTTTCCACTGTTTCTCCATCTATTTGCCATGAAGTGAAGGGACTGGATGCCATGATCTTAGTTTTCTGTATTTGATCTTTAAGCCAACTTTTTTACTCTCCTCTTTCACTTTCATCACTTTCTGCCATAAGGGTGGTGTCATCTGCATATCTGAGGTTATTGATATTTCTCCCGGCAATCTTGATTCCAGCTTGTGCTTCATCCAGCCCAGGGTTTCTCATGATGTACTCTGCATATAAGTTAAATAATTAGGGTGACAATATACAGCCTTGATGTACTCCTTTTCCTGTTTGGAACCAGTCTGTTCTTCCATGTCCAGTTCTAACTGTTGCTTCCTGACCGGTATACAGATTTCTCAGGAGGCAGGTCAGGTGGTCTGGTATTCCCATCTCTTTCAGAATTTTCCACAGTTTATTGTGATCCACACAGTCAAAGTGTTTGGCATAGTCAAGAAAGCAGAAATAGATGTTTTTATCGAACTCTCTTGCTTTTTTGATGATCCAGCAGATGTTGGCAATTTGATCTCTGGCTCCTCTGACTTTTCTAAAACCAGCCTGAACATCTGGAAGTTCATGGTTCACATATTGCTGAAGCCTGGCTTGGAGAATTTTGAGTATTACTTTGCTAGCGTGTGAGATGAGTGCGGTTGTGCAATCGTGTGAGCATTCTTTGGCATCGCCTTTCTTTGGGCTTGGAATGAAAACTGACCTTTTCCAGTCCCGTGGTCACTGCTGAGTTTTCCAGATTTGCTGGCATATTGAGTGCAGCACTTTCACAGCATCATCTTTGAGGATTTGAAATAGCTCAACTGGAATTCCATCACCTCCACTAGCTTTGTAGTGATGCTTCCTTGGCTTGATTATTCCCATACTAAGGAGACAGTGTAAATTCAAGTTCCATATCCATCTATAGGCAGGATCTTGGTTATAAATTCTCAGAGAGTACAAATTTATCCCCACTGAGTCCAGGCATCCAGGCAGACACAGACAGCGTTTCTTGTGATCTTTCTATGCCTATAGGCAGTTTTTTTATTTTCCCCCTAATTTCCTTCACTAAGGAGATATCTTTTAAGAATCCTGCTTTTAGGAGGGTCTTTGTTTCACTTCTTTATGTTGCAAGAATCAAGGCCTCAGCTTGTTTCTGACATTAAAACCCAAGCTCTTATATGAATAACAAATTTATAAGACAGTCTGAGTGACAGCTCAGGGCTTATTGTTTTGGTTTGCAGTTCCCTTTTCAATTTTAAACCCTGGGTATTGCCCCTATTTTGGGGCAGGGGGAGCTCAACTATGTATTTTAAAGAGTGTTTGTTAAATTTCCCCAATGTTTCTAAGAAGGTGTTTTTTTTTTTTTCTCCTGAAGATTATTCATCTCACTCTGTATTCTCACTCAGGGTTTAGACTTAATACAGCTCTAACACATTTCAAATCTATGGTTTTAGTTTCTGTTTTTGAAGAACCTAAATAAGATTCTAATGTAGTCATGAGGAATATTGATAACTAAAGGAAGCAGGATGGATGGCGCAAGAATAGCCTTTCAGAATCATAGGTCCTTCTTTCCCTTACTTCTCTCTCATAAGGATTCTTCAGTTTTTGTTCTTTTTGTGAAAGGATTGTTAAGCTTGTGGTATTCTCTTCTTCACATAGTGTCTCCTCTCTTCTGATGGGATATTCTTCTGCACATAATCTAGGTCTTCCAGGATGTTTAAAGGAAACTATTGCTCCTCAGCTAACAGAAAATGAAAGAGCACTGCTGAAATGTTAATGCTTGGGTACTTGACAAGTTCTAGTCATAATAAGCTACTGCTCCTTCCTCACATGGTTTCTCTTTAAAAAGGCCAAAATTATGGGTTGCCATTTGCTTGATATGAGTCTATGCACGATGAATTTTAAAAAATCAAAATATTTTGAAACTGAGAAATAAAAGCAACCTTAAAATAGCTGGTTTTGGAGGATTGTGGCAAAATATGGACAACTTTAATCACCCGAGCCACCAGTAGGACCAACTAACTGTATTGTATTATTTTGATCTATTTCTTTCCTTGCAGGTTTTCTTTACAAAATTGTGAGATAATTACACATTGTCAAGGTTGTTATAATGTTGTAAGCTCTTTATTAACTTGTAATATCTACATAATATTTTATTTAAATAGCAAATTTAAATTAAATAGCAAATTTAAATTGCAAATTTACTTAACTGTTTTCCCATGTTGTATATTTAATTTCAATGTCTCCCTCCCCTCTGCCTCCTTCTCCCCTTTCTTTTATTATAGAACTGTAGAGAATACCTTAATACTTTAATTTTTTTTCTTCTTAAATGTATTTAGGATATATTTCCTGATAGAATTACTGGGTAAAAGTGTTTTCACATTTTTAAGGCTTTTGACACAGAATGCCAAATTGCTTACCAAAAGTATAGTGCCAAGTTATATTCTCCCAACAGTTCAACAATACTTGAAACAGACTACTTTTATTATGTGTTGTGTCTATCCAGGGGGCCACTGGACAGAGATGTGGTTCTGATGCTTGCTTTATTGTTTCTCTGCAGGATATGGTACCTGTCATAGTTGATTACTGCCTTCTGCTACAGCGAAAGTGAGTATACATTGCCTGTCAGATTCAATTGTTTTGAATCCTATTTGCCTCTTGCTTATATTATAATATACTGCTATGAATTTGACGGAATGGTTTTTTAAAACAATGAATTTACAGAAATTTAATTCTTTAAAAATTTTCAGTTCATTTACCTAATAAAATTAACTTATCCAATATAGATACTGTGGGTATATCATCCATAAATTTATGTGGCAGAATAGTGGAGATGAAGAACATAGCAAAAGAACAATACTACTTAAAGATCTTAAAAGTGTATGATTCATGCACTATATATATATCTCTCTCTATATATATATAGAGAGAGCATGCATATATATATGCGCTTTTTTAATGAATCATCACTAAAACACAGTATTTCATACCATTCAAAAAAAGGCAAGATTTATTGTGTTTCCACAATGTTGGTTTTTGGATCCTCTTTGTTTAAAGGAAATCAGTGTAAATAAACTCTTGATTAGATTCTGTTTATTGAAATAGTAACTGTGTAAGTTAACCAGCCTGTGCTATTTCATAATTCTTCAGATTTATAATAATAGTTAGCATCCTATATTCCGGGTTTTGTTCTAAGTACTTTGCATTTATCTATCTTTTATAACAAGTTATTTAACTTTTATAATAGATAGGTATCATTATTATCTTCATTTTACATATGAAGTTCCAGAAGCAGTATGTGATTAAATAACTTGCCAAAGTTTGCTCCTACTTCTTTTGAGGAGCAAAGGTAGGGTTCTGATGCAGGTGGTCTAGCTCCTGGCTTTTTGCTCTTAACTACCAGGTTGTACCACTTCTTCAGTAGTGGAGGACAGCTCTGAGGATCCAGTGCAGATACTCCCCAAACCCTGTGCAACACTGACTTGACTCCTGAATTGATATCTATTCAGTTTGCCTGAATCATATACAGTTGGATCATACTTAGAAAGTATCAGTGAAGGTTATCAGGAAGACAGTCATTTGCTGTGTCAGACCTTCAGTTAAGTCACAAAGGGCTCTAGCTTCTGTTTACTTAGGGTTCATTCATTCCAGTGTTTTAGCTATAACATTATATGTAATTATCCAGTGAGGTATATTGTATTCATGGTTGGGATATTGTTGAGAACATTGTTTTACATTATACATTATATTGTATTTACATTTACATTATATTGTCTTCTTTATAAGGACCCATGGAAGACATTTCTCTTATATCTAGTGGGGTGTTGTTTGGTTCTGTTTATATATTTAGTGCACACTGGCCAGTAGTAGGATTGATGCTCTTGCTCCCTTCAGACAGTCTCTGAATTTGTAATTATCACATCATCAAAGCTGAGTTCTTCACATTTTTTAATTGTTAAATTGATAGTTCAGAAAGTGAATTTGGTCATTTTCTCTGTCAGTTTGAAGTTATGAATGATAAACTCCAAATAGAATCTTTAATATGAGTATTAAAATTTATGTAGAAGACCTTTTTGATGGCCCTCTGTTATTCAGAATGGATTTTTCCTGTTACACTCTGTGGGAGCTAAGTTTGAAGTAATAAACATCTGTTTTGAAATTAGCCCTTCCAGAAAACAAAGTCTGCACCCTGAAGAGTAATGCCTAAGTACAGAGAAACACAAGAGCCAAAACCTTTTTTTGTATGTACTTTTCTTTCTCTCTCTCTCTCTCTGATGCTCTAATAAATATTCTCCCAGGATGATGAGAAAATGTCTTAGAATTTTGTTTTATTTTCATTTGAAGTTAGAGATGCAGATAGGAGTTATATTTTTCTTGCTTCCTTATTATAGCCTCTTACTGGTTAAGAAAGAAACATAGTTTTGCCATTAATCTTACCAGCACTGCATGCTGCAGTTTGTCACAGGAGTGCCTTATTTGTCAACTTTTATGCTCTGGTTACTGAATTTTTAGCTCTTTAATTCTCCTCCTCCAGACTTTTTGTGCTGAGCCAAATAATATAATTATCTTTCCTAGCATGTTGTTTTTAACAACACATTACAGAGTTCACGGGCTAGCAAGTATGACATTTTCCTTAAATTCATTAGAGACACTTTGTTACTCTTATTTTATCTTTCTTATAGTAAAGCTTCATTAATCTGAGTTTCTTTTACTTGGCTAGTAGTTGGTAATCACAAAAATGTAATGGACTATTGATTTAAAATGAAACTAACATGAAAAATACTCCAGTAAATGTAAAGCAAAGGGGAAAATGTTGCAAAAATTACACTTGTGGCTATGAGAAAAAAATTAATGGATATACACGCACCCCCCACCTGATATTGCAAATACTGTTTATTGAAAAGCAGCATGAAAGAGCCTATTATACAAAGTGAAGTAAGTGAGAAAGATAAATATCGTATATTAATGCATATATATGGAATCTAGAAAGATGGTACTGATTAACATACCTACAGGGCAGCAATGGAGATGCAGACATAGAGAACAGACTTTTGGACACAGTAGGGGAGAGAGAAGGTGGGATGATTTGAGAGAGTAGCACTGAAGCATGCTTACATATGTAAAGTATATGGCTAGTGAGAATTTGCTATATGATAGAGGGACCCCAAAACCGGTGCTCTGTGACAACCCAGAGGGATGGGATGGGGATGGAGGTTTAAGAGGGAGAGGACATAAAGAAAAAAAAAAAAAAGAGGGAGAGGACACATGTATACCTACTGTTAATTCATGTTGATATCTGGCAGAAACCATCACAATATTGTAAAGTAATTATCTTCCATTAAAAATAAGATAAAAGACTATTGGGACTTCCCTGATGGTCCAGTGGCTAAGAATCTGCACTCCCAGTGCAGGGGGCCCAGGTTCGATCCCTGGTTGAGGAGCTAAATCTCACATGCTGCAACTAAGACCTAGCACAGCAAAATACATAACAAAAATAAATCAATAAAATAAAAGACTTAAAAAAAGAAAGCAATGTGGGGTTCGGTGCAGTTGTAGCCAGTCGACTTATCATTTGTCCCCTTCCAGGACTTCAGGTGAGGCCAGTCCCCATCCCATTACTTTCAGAATCTACTCCCACCTTTTTGTAGAACTTGTCATAGAAGACCACATCTGTGGATGAACCATCTACCACTTTTCACAGCTGACGTGAGGCACATATGTAAAGATTAGCAAATTTAGTAAATAATAAATAACCAATCCTAACAGGTAAATAGAATTAGCACAGTTACTGTATTTAAAAAAGAGAGAATTAAAGAATCAGTGAATTATATAAGTAAGTACACTGTATGAATGGAAGCACGGATTGCCAGTCATCAGAGAACTGAAAACAGTGATAGTGTTTATAATTAAATTATATGGGGGGAAAAAAAGACAATTGTCCATTAAAACTGTTGAAATAATACATTATACATTGCTGATGGCTATGTGAATTGTGATGTGATGCTGTGATGCTTTTTGGAGATAATTTAGTTTTTAAAAATTTTATTTATTTTTTAATTGGTGAAACATTGCTTTACAATTTTGTGTTGGTGTCTGCTATACAACAACAGGAATCAGCCATAGTTATATATATAAAAAACATCCCTCTCCTCCCTTCCCTCCCCTCCCCCATCCCACCTCTCTGTGTCACCACCGAGCGCCAGGCTGGACTCCGTGTATTATTTAGCAGCTTCTCACTCTCTATTTTACACATGATAGTCTATGTATGTCAGTGCTGTTTTCTCAATTTGCCCCACTCTCACCTTCCCTCACCTTCTCATGTCCACAGGTCTGTTCTCTACTAGGTTCATCAGTGTATTATTTTTCTAGATGCCATATATATGTGTGTGTTAATATGCAATACTTCTTTTTCTCTTTCTGACTCACTTCACTCTATATAAGAAACTCTAGGTTCATCCATCTCTCTCCAACTGACTCAAATTCATTCCTTTTTATGGCTGAGTAATATTCCATTGTATAAATGTACCACAACTTCATTATCCATTCATCTGTTGATGGACATCTAGGTTGCTTCCATGTCCTGGCTATTGAAGATGTTGCTGCAGAGATCTTTGGGGTTTATGTGTCTGTTTGAATTGTGGTTTTCTTAGGGTATGTGCCCAGTAGTGGCACTGCTGGGTCATATGGTAGATTTATTCTTAGTTTCTAAAGGAATCTTCATACTGTTTTCCATAATGACTGTATCAGTTTATATTTCCATCAGCAGTGCAGGAGAGTTCCCTTTTCTCCACATCCTCTCCAGCATTTATTTGTAAATTTTTTGATGATTGCCATCCTGACTGGTGTAAGATGATACCTCATTGTAGTTTTGGTTTGCGTTTCTTTAATAATGAGCAATATTGAGCATCTTTTCATGTGTTTATTGGCCATCTTTATGTCTTCTTTGGGTAAATGTCTGTTTATAGGTCTTCTGCCCTTAATTTGATTGGGTTGTTTGTTTTTCTGATACTGAGCTATATGAGCTACTTATATATTTTGGAGATTAACTCTTTATCAGTTGCTTCATTTGCAATTATTTTTTCCCATTCTGAGGGTTGTCTTTTCACCTTGTTTATAGTTTCCTTTGCTGTGCAAAAGCTTTTAGGTTTTTTTAGGTCCCATTTGTTTGTTTTGGCTTTTATTTCCATTAATCTAGGAGGTGGGTCAGAGAGAATCTTGCTGTGATATAGGTCAAAGTGTGTACTGCCTATGTTTTCCTCTAAGAGCTTTATAGTTCCTGGCCTTACTTTTAAGTTTTTAATCCATTTTGAGTTTATTTTTGTGTATGGTGTTAGGAACTGTTCAGATTTCATTCTTTTACACTTAGCTGTCCAGTTTTCCTAGCACTTAAATGACACACTTTTTTTTTTTTTTTTTGGTTATCTTTTGACTTTAAATAAATTTCTAAAAGTAGAATGACTAAGGAATTATTAATAAGTACCCCAAATGGAAAGACTACATAAGGAGATGTTCATTGTGGCCTTACTCATTATAATGAAATAGTAGTGTTATCCTACAGGAATAGCTAAATAAATTCTGATGTTTTGGCATATTGACACATAAGTTAGACAAAATGATACTTTTAAAGAGTGACTAGAAACTTAGAACAATGCTTATCATATAATTGCATGAAAACAAAATTCAGATTGTATCTATGATGAATATAAATCTAACATTATTTCTGGGGATTTCCTTGGTGGTTCAGTGGCTAAGACTTCACATCCCAGTGCAGGGGATGCATGTTCAGTTCCTGATCAGGGAGCTGAGATCACACATGTCTCTTGGCCAAAAATCCAGTAATAATAAAAATAAAAAACAGAAGCAATATTGTAATAAATTCAATAAAGACTTAAAAAATGGTCCACATAAAAAAATCTTAAATAATAAAGTTATTCTTTGCAGAAGAACTGCAAAATAAATAAAACAGTTATTGAGTGTGGCAGCATTTGTTTAATTACCTTTTTTTTGTTTCTTCAATAAAAGTTTTCAGCCATGTTTTTAAAATATTGAGCATTGTCTTTTTCCTTTCCCTCAATTATCACTACCTAAACCCTTTGGGAAGCAAGGGGCAAGAACTAGATAAAGAAGCAAGTTAGCCATGCAGATCAGATGGGAAGATTTAGATACCAGGAAAGAGGAAAGGATAAATTGTGAATAGTCCATTTAATTTTTTTCTACTTCATCATAGTGTCCGTACTACCTGCTCTCATATTGGTATTATCTTTAAGAAGCAGTGTGTCATAAGGGATTCAGCAGAGTTGAGGCCAGAAGACTGATTCAAATTCTGACTCTATCCCCTTGTTAGCTAACTGACTTCCAGCAAATAATTTAACTTACTCAACACTTTTTATCTGTAAAAAGTATTGGGCAAGTTAATTAGGATAGTATGTATAATATGAGATTTTTCTAAACATAAAGCTCTATGCAAATATTGTTACTATTTTTAATAAACCTTGGAAGTTGAAATAGAAAGATGAGATATACTTAGAAGACTGAATTTAATGGATGGTTGGAATGTTCCTAAAAGTATTTTTCCCCATTCTGTTACAGGGATCTTTTATTTAGCCAGGTGTATGACAAATTAAGTGAGAATTCAGTGGCCAAAGGAGTGTTTCTGGAGTGCCTTGAACCGTATATTTTAAGTGATAAATTGGTGGGGATCACACCCCAGGTAATGAAAGACTTGATTGTTCATTTCCAAGATAAAAAGTTAATGGAAAATGTGGAAGCCCTCATTGTACATATGGATATCACCAGCCTAGATATTCAGCAGGTGAGTTTATAGGCAGTCTATTAAATTATGGAATAGACATCATTCCTTTATTGATTATATTTATCTGATTTTATTAGGCCTCGCTCTATCAACCCGAATTATTTTTGAGCACTTTTTGGTAATAAGAGGTCTCATAAACTTGTATTTATCAGTATATTTCTTTGAAGTGTTCTTTATTGGGAGCTAGATTAGAAAATCCTGTAAGCCTTTGGTTTCTTTGATATCCCCCAGACCTCGTCGCATAGAGTTTATATTTGGTAGTTGCTCAATAAATAATTATTGGCTGATCCTCTTTCATCAGTTTGTTCACTACTGCAGTTTTCATCCTGCAAATGAATTTCAACTATAAGTACTTTCACGTCAATAATAGAATTTTTTTTACTTTTGAGAGTATGAAGCCATTTTTTTGAAAAGTTAGTTTGTATGTCCAGAGTTGATAACTTTCATACATTGTTTTGAAATACAGAGCATAGTATAAAAAGCAAATTTTCGGACATTTTAGCTTGATTAGCCAACCTGTTGTTCGATAAAATGCTTCGTATATCTGGGGTCTCCAGAACAAGTATTAAGTCCTTAATTGAGGAGCAAATATGTATCTGACCTAAGACACTTCACTAACTCATTTAACTCTTCAGTTTCACATTAGTCCAGTTATGAGCGAAGGCACAAAGATACCAAGGGGCTGAGCCCTATGATCTAAAATACGAGTGACTTACAAAGTTAGAAGGACCAATAGGTTGTTTTTTTTTTTTTAATGTGCAAAATCACATGGAAATGAAGGGCTTGAAAAATGATTCTTGTTTTCTTCCTGGAAGCTCTGTATGAATGCCTGTGAGTTTGCAAAAACCAGTTCCTCTTCTATGTATGCCTTTCTCTCACATGGGTAAATTGGCATAATCTTCACATCTGACATTAGGCCCATTGATTTGAGAGCAGGTTATCATTCTAGCTTTATTTACCTGTCACTGATACAAGAGAAATTTCTAATTTCTTCTCCTTCGAACATTTTTAGCTTTTTCTCCAATACTGGGTTAATATATCTACTCTTTTTCATGTTAAAAAAGCAGTTTAAACAATCTCCCCCTCAGATTCCTTTCTCTCTGTATCAAAACTTCCCCTTCTTCCTCTTGCCTTACCTCCACATCTCATTTCCCCCTTGCAGCTGGATTCTTTCCTTCCCCTGCTCTTTCTCTCCTTTCTTTCCCACATTTTGAAAGTATTTTCTAGATTGCCTCTTCCATTTCATTCACATCCTAATAATTCTTCAACTTTGCTTTCACTAGAGTCTGTAATGACCTCCATGTCAACTATATCAAATGGCATTTCCCAAATTCCTTCAACAGCATTTATTCATTAATTCAAGAATTTATTGAGTGACAGGCTCTAAGTATGCTTTCATGAACCCAGTGGACAAGGCTTGTCCTCTCATAAGGCTTACATTAGCAAAAAAAGAAAAATGTTTGACAGTAAGAGACAAACAAGTAAACAAACCAAAATATCCAAAATAAATGTTCTGTTAAAAGTGAAACAGACAATAGGTAAAGAGAGAATGAGAGATTATCTTAGATTGTTACAGAAAACTTTCTTGAGAAAGTAGCATTGAGTCTGATTGATTCTGGAATCTGAATGGCAAGAGGAATCAGTAATGCAAAGATCTTGGAGGAGAAGATTGTTATGGGTAAAAGCAACAGCTGATGCAAAAAAGCAAGAAAAAGATATGCCTTGGGTGTTAACATGCTTAGTCACTCAGTCATGTCTGACTCTTTATGACCCTATGGACTGTAGCCCACAAGCCTCCTCTGTCCATAGGATTCTCCAGGCAAGAATACTAAAGTGGGTTGCCATGCCCTCCTTCAGGGGATCTTTCTGACCCAGGAATTGAACCCAAGTCTCCTGTGTCTCCTGCATTGCAGTCTGATTCTTTACCATTGAGCCACAGGGGAAGCCCTTGGGTGTTAAAGTTACAAATGAAAGAAAAATAACTTGGTTGAAAAAGAGAGGTAGCCCTTTCAGAGCAGGGTACAGATTTTTCTATTTTATTCTGAGTGTTATGTGAAATCCTCAAAAGATTTTAAATGAGATTACTCTGATTTGCTTATGGGTAGCAGAATGAGAGATAGGGACCTAGTAGAGAAGAAGCAAGGAAATTGGTTAAGAGCTAGTCGAAAGGGGGTATATTGGCCAGAGATGGTAGTGGTGAAGTGAAGAGAGATGGCTTGACTTTGCGAATGTTTTGGAGGTAGAACTCATTTTCTGATGAATCAGACCTGAAGGTGTGGAAGGAGAGAATTTAAGACTCTTGCCTAGTATTTTGGCTTGAGAAGCAAGGTGGATAGTAATTCCTTTAAGAAGATTGGAAGACTGGGATAGATCTGAGTGTAGGAGACGAAATCAGGAGGTATATTTTGCAGTTTTATTTTGAGATACTACTAGACATAGACATTTAGGTGAAGATACCAAGTCAGTGGCTGAGTATGTGGGTCAGAGGGGAGATTAGGGAAGCTATAAAGATGTGTATGACCTTGACACTGGCTGAGAGGATGAGAAGAGGACCCAGAGCATGCTTTTGTCTGGGAAACCTCTCCCATGACACCTCACTTCCATTTTCCCTCTGAACCTCTTTGGCTGTTCCTTAGCATTCTCCTTTTTTGACCTCTGCTCTTCTGCTTCAGTCTTCCGTCACTTAAGTACTATATTTAGCTCCCATAGGAACAGAGTGTGATGTACTACATACTTCAAGTCAGGGCTTCCCAGGTGACTCAGTGGTAAAAAAAAAAAATCCACCTGCCAATGTAGGAGACATGGATTCGATTCCTGGGTCAGGAAGATCCCCTGGAGGAGGAAATGACAACCCACTCCAGTGTTGTTGCCTGGAAAATTCCATGGACAGAGGAGCCTGGCAGGCTATAGTCCCACCAGGGACTATGGTGTTGCAAAGAGTTGGACACGACTGAGCAACTGAACTTGATCCTTCAAGTCGTCTCTGTTCCTCTTCCTATTTTCTCAAATTGATTTCTATCCATCCTTAACCACTTCAAGCTCCTTTCATCCTTTCTGCTCCTTCTGCCTGCAAAACCCCTCATTTCCATCTCTGCCTTTGGCTTACATACATGCATCTCTTGTCGTTGTTTAGTCACTCAGTTGTGTCCAACTCTGCGACCCCGTGGACTCCAGCACTGCAGGCTTCCCTGTGCTCCACCATCTCCCAGAGTTTGCTCAAACTCATGTCCATTGAATTGGTGATGCCACCCAACTGTCTTATCCTCTGTCGCCCCTTCTCCTCTAGTCTTCAATCTTTCCCAACGTCGGGTCTTTTCCATTGAGTCGGCTCTTCACATCGGGTGGCCAAAGTATTGGAGCTTCAGCATCAGTGCTCCCAGTGAATATTCAGGGTTGATTTCCTTTAGGATTGACTGATTTGATCTCCTTGCTGTCCAAGGGACTCTCAAAAGTCTTCTCCAGCACCACATTTCAAAGGCATCAGTTCTTTGGCACTCAGCTTTTTTTATTTTCCAGCTCTCACATCCATACGTAACTACTGGAAAAACCATAGCTTTGACTATATGGACCTTTGACGACAAAGTGATGTCTCTGCTTTTTAATATTCTGTCTAGGTTTGTCATAGCTATTCTTCCAAGAAGCAAGTGTCTTTTTAATTTCATGCATCCGTTAGGTCCTAACTTAAATATTGCTCCCTTAGGGATGACTTTCTGAATACTCCAGACCAAGACAGATTCCTTTATAGACTTACCACATTTGTAAATGAACTATTTGCATAATTGAGTATCTTCCCCAAGTCAAAATTCACATACCATTTTGTGCCCCTTCTTTTGGTGAGTGTTCAGGATGAATGGAAGTGCTGTCAGGGTAGAGACTAGATCCGGATTTGTCTTACCTATTATCCCAATGTTGAGGAGAGGACCTGAATATAAATGTTTAGTAAATATTTGTAGAACTAATGACCAAAGGTCACTAGAATGGATATGGAAAGGGGGAGGATAGAGAAGAAATAAAATCATATGTTGGAGGGTGTTTAAAAGTAGCTATATACTATTTAAAGTAACATTGAACCTACAACAGCTCTTCCCCTGGCATTGTGTTTGAGTACTTTAATTTCAGGTTTTTTTCAGAGCAGGAATAAAAAAAATTAGGAAAGAGAATTCAAAATCTTACCCATAATTAAAGCTTTGAGGAAAATAATTGGTGAGACTTACTAAATTGTATGGACCAAGCAACATTTCCTTTTTACAGATAGTTCTCATGTGTTGGGAAAATCGACTATATGATGCTATGATCTATGTCTACAACAGAGGCATGAATGAATTTATTAGTCCAGTGGAGGTAAGATTCTTCCTAATTTGTACACATATTTTATATTGTCTATTAATATTTTTTCCTTCTCTCCATTTGCTTTGAATAGTTTGTTTTCATACAGTTACTTTAAATTGTCTTGTAGGTTTATTAGACTTGCACCCATTGTTGTTCAGGACTTTAGATAGTCTTTATAATTTTATACCTTCTTATACCTATATGCCATTGCATTCTTTTTATCTGCATAAGTTTTAGGTGTTTAAATCCCAGGGAACAATAGATAAAAGCCTGTGAGACTCTTTTTTTTTTTAAGTTTTTTTTCTAAAAGATTTTCATATTATTGTAGCTTTCCCAATAGTTGTAAGAAATGTATTCTATACTTAAGAGTAGAATAATTATTTATTATTTATTAATGAATGTTAATAAATGATTTATTATTTATTAATAATTGTTCTATTCTATAATAGAGTAATACTCTATTACTCTGTATGGAGTAATGGTACTATTGAGTAATGCTGTTTTGTAGCTATATTCTGCTAGGGTAAACTCCTGCAAATGGTGAGAGGTTGTTATTTTTTAATAGCTAATTTGTTGCTTTTCCCATTTCAGAATTTTCTAGCATTCATTAGAATTTCTTATTATCCTTACCATTAGAAAAGAGCACCTAGAAAGCATTTGGGTTTATTTTTAAAAGAAACAAACCTGTCTTCATCATGTTAGTTCCTTTAAATTTGAAGAGAGAATAAGGGTTATGGATTGTGGATATGTCGGGAAGATCCCCTGGAGGAGGAAATGGCAACCTACTCCAGTATTCTTGCCTGAAGAATCCCATGGACAGAGGAGCCTGGCAGGCTGTGGTCCACAGGGTCTTAAAGAGTCAGACATGACTGAAGCGACTTAGCACGCATGTAGCGCCCTGCCAGCCCACTCTGTTAGTACAGTGACTTCATTACCTGGGTCAGAAGATCCAGGCGTCTCCTGAAGGCGTCCAGTCAACATTTTTGCATATTTAATAAACATCTGAAAGCATTTACAGTATTATTTTAAGTCAGCAGTCATTCCATGATATTTCAGTTTTCTTTTCACTTGGAAGGTGAATATCCCTCTAATTCATAATTCCTTAAGTTTTGTGTACTTCTTTTCCCTTGGTCATTTTCCAGATGAGTGCCACAGCCTTCCCGCACTGGTTTTGATTTTGATTGTTTGTGTTTCAAATAAGTATTCTTAACATTTGAACACTTCTCAGCTGCCTCTTCAGTGAGGTCCATGACCTCTGTGCATGCAAAAATGTTCTCCATTTTTAAACCACAATTAAACTATTTAACCACAATTAGGAAGAATTAATGCAGTTTCTAGTTTCTCTCAAAATAATCCCTGCAAACAGATTCTGATTTGATTCATTCTATGTTGATAAAAATGGTTGTGGGGTTTTTGTTATTGCTGCTTTTGAAGTTTTTGTTTTGTGTGGATTTTTTATTGCTCAGAATCTGGTTTGTATTTATAGCTATGCATCTCAGATGGAGCACTTTACTGTTGAGGTTGCCTTGGTTTTTTTTTTTTGAGTAGTTTTCAAGTTTAATGACTTTCAGCAGGAGCTTGGTGTTTGTTATTATATAGTTATTTGGAGATTTTAGTAGTGGGAAGTTAGAGACATCCTGTGATTGCCCTTTTATAATTCTTTGCCTGTGAAGAAATCACTATTCAGTGTTTAAAGTTGAGCTATTTCAGTTTAAAGAGGTCCAAATTAGAAGAATCTGAAAAGAATAGATACACGTATATGTATAACTAAATCACTTGGCTGTACACCTGAAACTAACACTGTTGTAGCCACGCATTCCAGGAAGCAAACTCACTCAGAGGACATTGCAGATAGTGGAGTGCAGTTTATTACACTGGCGGGCCCAGGGCAGAGTCTCCCTTAGCCAAGGACCCCGACTGACTTGTGAAAACCTTATATACCTTAAGTGTACTGCTCAAGCCCACATTCCCATATTCCTTAAACCTAGACTGGAAAGTGTTAAAGGGAAATACAATCAGGTTACAGCCATGATTCATAATCAGAAGGGTCAGCTAGTTATACATTGTAGCCTACCCAATGGGTGCCATAAAGATGACAAAGGTGACTGACTACATAGGGGATTATCACATTCTTTTTGGCAATGGGAAATCTTGGTTTGGAATCTGGTGTTTATCAGTCCGGGAGACCAGTTTGGCCATAATGTTAACCCCTTGGCTACCAAGCACATGGTCCAAAGCTCACTGAAAGTGCAAGATGGAGTTTCCTTCTTTTTCAAGATGGAGTCAGCTCAGCCTGTTCCTTTCCTCCCTCAACACAACATTGTAAATCAACTATACTCCAATGTGAACTAAAAATTAAAAAAAAAAAGAGGAACTATATTGCCTTTTGAAATTTTCTAGTTTTTCTAGAATGAAAGACAGTGTTACCATACTTGAGATGATTACCATAGTCTCTGAAATCTTAGTTCTAGTTTTGGCCGCTTCTGATATAATAGTGCCTTGTGTTGGGAGGGAAAACTTTTCCTCTACCAACTGAAATCCGAATGGTGGGGAGAAGACTGTGAATTAACTGACAATGAACAGATTGACAGGGGAAAAGGCAAGGTTTATTCACACTTGTACTGGGAGAACTCAGAAATGAATGAATCACTAAACAACCAGAGGGAGAGGCTTATCTACCAGTTTAAGGAAACTTGCAGTGTGAGGGGGGAGGGATTTAGGTTTCCTGGGAAAATATGAAGAGCTTTATCAGGCTTTTGATGCTAATGAATAGTTGGATTTGCCCCACTTCCCAGTGCTAAGGGCCTGTCTTCTCCCAAACAGTAAACTCCCTCTCAGGAAGGCCAGCGTAGTTTTGCCATTAATCTTGTATTTTCATAGGCTCTGCTTCCATTTCGACGTCTTTTTCTGTGGCTGCTGATTGTTCACATGTTTTCAGCTTACAGTAATCTTTCTTACTATTTTGGTGGGCTACTAATCCTTTGATTTGCTTACTATTTTTTAAAAAATAAAGCTCTTTTAGGAGTCTAAGCATAGCTTACGTTAGAAATAATGTTCTTAACAAAGACTTTCTTCTAACTGGTATTTGTTAAATGGTTTCTTTCAGTGAGGAATATGACAACAATGATTATTTCCTAGTGATCCTACTGAAGCAGTTTATGGCCACATTAAAAGTTTTTATATTTAATCTTAATAGCAAATGACTAATTCAATCAGAGAAAGGTGATTATAGCATAAGATTTTAATTATTTTTTTGAAATATTTTTTTAAAGATGATGTTGATTGTTCTTCTGTTAATTTTCATGCAGAAACTTTTCAGAGTCATTGCACCTCCTTTGAATGCAGGAAAGACGCTAACAGGTATTAATTTTCTAAGCCTTAATGTTTTTCTCTTTTTTGTGATTAAAAATATTATTTAAATAACACAGATTTCACCAATTTTATGTGTACAGTGTGAATTTTGATAATTGTACATGTTCACATAACAACTGACATATTCAAATTGTAGAAGGAGCTATATAATTCCATACTAAAAGGTTTCCTCCTGTCCCTTGTATTCTACTCCCCACAGTTCCATCCCCTGGCATTTTCTAACCTACTGTTTTTTTGTTTTTTTTTTTTTTTAACTACTGTTCATGTAAATAGAATTACATAGTATTTAATTTTGGTGTTTTATTTATTTCACTTAGCACAGTGTTTTTGAGATTCATCCCTGTTGTTGCATGTATAATTTTGTTCCCCTTAGTTGCTGAAAATGGTAATCCGTGAGTTGGATATACTGTCATTGGTTTATCTACTCATCAGTTGAAGGACATTCCAGTTGCTTCTGTTTTGGAGCTATTATAAGTAATGTTGCTCCATTTGTGAATGAGTTTTGTTATGTTTTTAATTAAACTGTTTATCATGAGGAAATTGTAGATTCACATGCAATTGTATGAAATGACACAAGAGATCCTGTATACTGTTTACCCATTTTCCCTCAGTGATAACATCTTGCAAAACTAAAGCAGGGTATCACAACCAAATATTCACATTGATACAGAACAGTTTCATCACCACAGGTATCCCTTATGTTTTTCTTATCCCCCATTGCTGACCCCTAGCTGTGAATAAGTTTTCTTGGGCATGTGTTCATTCTTCTTGGACAACTATCTAGAATTAGAATGGATGGATTGTATAGTAAATATATGTTTTACTTTCTGAAGTATTGCTGTTTGGTTTTTCAAAATGAGTATACCGTTTTACATTCCCATCAGCAGTATGAGAGAGTTCTGATAGCTCCATATCTTTGTAAGCACTTGGTATTGTCAGTCTTTAAAAATATTTAGCCATTCTAAGTGGGTGGATAATGGTATTTCATTGTGGTTTAAATTGTGGTTAGTGATGTTCAGCATCTTTTCATGTGCTTTTGCCCATTCACGTACCTTTTTTTTTGTATGAATCATCCATTTAAATCTTTTAGTACTTCTAGAAAGGTAGAGAAGAGGTGTTATTTGACATCATATTATTGAGCTCTGGGTATGTGAAATCTCCACCAGAGCCTTTTAGAGTCCTTATGTAGTCTGGATACAAGGTCTTTTTAAATATGTGTTTCACAAAATTTTTTGCCCAGTCTATTGCTTACTGTTTTGTTTTCTTAACCATGTTTTTCAAAGCACAGAAGTTTTCAGTCTTCATGAGGTCCATTTTATTTATTTAGTTTTTCTGTAGTTTTTGTCTTTTGGTGTTCTGTTTAAGAAATCTTTGTCCAACTCAACATCATAAAGATTTTATCTTATGATGCAAGATGAAGTTCAGGGACTTTTCCCTCTGTAGTTATCAGTTCCTCTACCATTTTTTGGAAAGATTATCTTGTTTCTAGTGAATTATCTGCACACCTTTTTTGAAAAATTTTTTTGCAAAAAGTTGATTTTTGTCATAAGTCAACTGACTATGAGTTTATTTCCAAACTTTCTGTTACGTTCCATTGGCCTCTATGTCCATGCTTAGTTGCTTCAGTTGTGTCCAACTCTGTGACCCTATGGACTGTATCCCACCAGGCTCCTCTGTCCATGGGATTCCTCCAGGCAAGAATACTGGAGTGGGTTGCCATTTCCTCCTCCAGGGGATCTTCTCGACCAAGGAATTGAACTCGTGTCTCTTAACCTCTTCTGCATTGGCAGGCAGGTACTTAACCACTAGTGCCACCCGAGAAGCCCAATGCCAATGATATACTCTCTTGGTTGTAGCTTTGTAGTAGGTCTTAAGATCAAGTATCTTTAGTCTTCCAGCTTTATTCTTTTTCAGAACAAAAGGCCCTTTGCCTTCTTGAATGACCTTTAAAATCCGCTTATCAGTTTCTTTTAAAAAGCTTACTTGAATTTTGTTTGGAATTGCATTGATTCTATAGGTTAGTTTTGGTGGGGAGGGGATTGCCATCTTAATGTAGAGTCTTCTAACCTATGGATGTATATTTTCCATTCATTTTAGTCTTTTAAAATCAGTTTGTTTTCTCAACTTCTGCAGAAGGACAGCTGGGTGGGACTTTGATAAAGATTGCTTTGAATTGATAGATCAATTTAGGGAGTGTTGCTATCTTAGCATTATTTCGTCTTTCAGTTCTATGAACACAGTCTATCTTTCCATTTGTTTGGTCTTGTTTAATTTCTTTCAATGTTGTGGTTTTCAGTGTACAAGTCATGTACTGCTTTTGCTGAATCTATTCCTATTTTATTTAGTTTGATGCCATTATAAATGGATTTTTTAAAAATTTCATTTTCAGAATGTTCATTGGCAGTGTATAGAAATAAAATTAAATTTTTTTTTTTTTTTGGCTATACCAATGGCTTCTGGGATCTGAGTTTCCCAACTAGGATTTCAACCCCAGCTCCAGAAGTGAGTGTTGAGTCCTAACAATTGGACTACCAGGGAATTTGCAGTAAAGTTGATTTTTATATTGATCTTGTATCTGCATCCTTCATTCACTAGTTCTAATTTTTAAAATAGATTCTTTGGAATTTTTCACCTATATGATCATGTCATCTGTTAATAAAGTTAATTTTACTTCTTCCTTTCTGATCTGAATTCCTTTTATTTTTCTTCCTTAATTGATCTGGCTAGAACCTCCAATACAATGTTGAGCAGAAGTGGCAAGAATGGACATCCTTAGCTTTTTTCTATCTAAGGGGGAAAGCATTCAGTTTTTTACCATTCAGTTCACTCAGTCGTGTCCGACTCTTTGCAACCCCATAAACCACAGCACACCAGGCCTCCCTGTCCGTCACCAACTCCCAGAGTTTACCCAAATTCATGTCCATTGACTCGGTGATGCCATCCAACCATCTCATCCTCTGTCATTACCCTTTTCCTCCTGCCCTCAATCTTTCCCAGCATCAGGGTCTTTTCAAATGAGGCAGCTCTTCCCATCAGGTGGCCAAAGTATTGGAGTTTCAGCTTCAACATCGGTCCGTCCAGCGAACACGCAGGACTGATCTCCTTTAGGGTGGACTGGTTGGATCTCCTTGTAGTCCAAGGGACTCTCAAGAATCTTCTCCAACACCACAGTTCAAAAGCATGAATTTTTTGGTGCTCAGCTTTCTTTATAGTCCAACTCTGACATCTGTACATGACCACTGGAAAAACCATAGCCTTGATTAGATGGACCTTTGTTGACAAAGTAATGTCTCTGCTTTTTAATATGCTGTCTAGGTTGGTCATAACTTTGCTTCCCAGGAGTAAGCATCTTTTAATTTCATGGCTGCAGTCACGATCTGCAGTGATTTTGGAGCCCCCCCCCCCCAAAATAAAGTCTGCCACTCTTTCCACTGTTTCCCCATCTATTTGCCATGAAGTGATGGGACCGGATGCCATGAATATGATGTTAATTGTGGGTTTTTCATAGATGTCCTTATCATTTTGAGAAAGTTGCCTTCTGTTCTAATTTGAGTGTTTTTAACATGGAATAGTTGGATTTTATCAAATGCTTTTTTCTGCATCTGTTAAGATAATCTTGTGAATTTTATCCTTTATTTTATTGATATGGTTTATAAGGTTGATTCATTTTTGTATGTTAAGTCAGTCTTATGTTCTTGGAATAAATCTCACTTGGTCACAATATAATTGTTTTTACATGTTGTAAGATTGAGGTTGCTAAATTTTTCTGAGAATTTTTTATGGCTGTCTTCATAAAAGATATTGTTCTATAATGTTCTTTTCATATCTTCTCTTTTTTGGTCTTAGTATCAAGTATATTTGATATCTTGGTATACTTGCTCATGAAATGAGTTGGGAAGTGTTCACTCTTCTGTCTTTTGGAACAGGTTTTGAAGGATTGGTGTTAATTCTTTAAATATGTGGTAGAATTCATTAATAAAACCATGTGAGCCTGGGATATTTTTTGTTTGAAGTTTTTAAATTACTAGTTCAGTCTCTGCTTGTTAAGTCTGTTCAGGTTATTCATTTCTTCTTGAGTCAGTTTTGGTAGTTTTTGTATTTCTAGGAGTTTGTCCATTTAATTTGTTATCTAATCTGTCGACATATAGTGGTTATGGTGTTCTCTTACAATTCTTTCTGTTTCTATAAGGTTTATAGTGATGTCTCTTATTATAATATTGTAATTTGAGTCTTCTCTCTTCTTGATCTGTCTGGTTAAAGGTTTGTCAATTTTATTGTTTTTTTCCCCAAAGAACTAATTTTCATCTTAGTGATATTATTTTTCTTTGCTCTTTCATTTATTTCTGCTTAGCCTTTATTATTTACTTCATCTTGCCTTGGGTTTATTTATTTTTTTTAGTTTCTTGAGGTTAAAGTCTAGATTATTGATTTGAAATCTTTCTTCCTTTTTTTTTTTTTAAAATAGGTGTTTATAGCTGCAAATATCTCTAAGCAGCGCTTTAGCTGCGTTCCATAAGTTGTGTCTGTTGTATCTTCATTTTCATTCATCTTGAAGTATTTTCTAATTTGCCTTGAGATATTGGTTATTTCAAAGAAGGCAATGGCAACCCACTCCAGTACTCTTGCCTGGAAAATCCCATGGACGGAGGAGCCTGATAGGCTGCAGTCCATGGAGTCGTGAAGAACTGGACACAATTGAGTGACTTCACTTTCACTTTTCACTTTCATGCATTGGAGAAGGAAATGGCAGCCCACTCCAGTGTTCTTGCCTGGAGAATCCCAGGGACGGCGGAGCCTGGAGGGCTGCCATCTATGCCGTTGCACAGCGTCAGACACAACTGAAGCGACTTAGCAGCAGCAGCAACATTGGTTATTTCGAAGTTTGTTGCTTAATTTCCACATATTTTTGGATTTCTCACATTTCCTTCTGATACTGGTTTCTCACTTTTTTCCATTGTACTTAGAGAACATACTTTGTGTTGTTTCTA